GGGGGGGGGGCTGTGAGGTGACACAGTGGGGGGGTCGCAGCCCCGGGAAGGGAGGGGGGATGGCGGGGAGTTGGGGACACTCATCCCGGGGTGGTGGGGAGGGGAGGTGCGCCCGATTTTGGGAGAGGGGGGACATCCCCCCCACACCCCAGGAACTGAGCGGAACGGAGTTTCCAGGGTCTCGTTTCCACCCGGAGCTGTTTGCTCCGCCGGGGGCGCGGCCGGGGCGGGTTCGGGGCTGCACCGGCGGAAGCGGCGATGGAGGAGCCCGAGATGCAGCTGAAGGTGAAGAAAGGTGGGAACGGGGTCGGGATGTCTCCGGGAGGGGTCGGGATGTCTCCGGGAGGGGTTTGGGGGGTCTCCAGGTGGCGTTGGGGGGTCTCCAGGAAGGGTTGGGGGGGTCTCCAGGAGGGGTTTGGATGTCTCTGGGTGGGGTTGGGATGTCTCCAGGAGGGGTTTAGGGGTCTCCAGGTGGGATTGGGATGTCTCCAGGTGGGATCGGGATGTCTTCAGGACGGGGTTTGGATGTCTCCAGGTAGGGCTGGAGGGGTCTCCAGGAGGGGTTTGGGGGTCTCCAGGTGGGATTGGGGGGGTCTCCAGGTGGGATTGGGATGTCTCCAGGTGGGATCGAGATGTCTCCATAGAGGACACTCCACCCCTCGGAGACGTTTATGGATCTCTGGGGTCCCCTCTCCGCCACATGAACGCGAAACCCCCGGAGTTAACGTTAAAAAAGCGTCAGCACCAGGACCAGGGGGGGCCCTTCCCGAGGGGTCCCCCCCGAGCTCCTGACCTGCCCCATTCCCGCGTTTCCCCGCAGTCACGGACAAGTTCACGGAGAGCCTGTACGTGCTGGCCAACGAGCCCTCGGTGGCCTTGTTCCGCCTGCAGGAGCACGTCCGCAGGTCCCTCCCGGAGCTCGCCCAGCACAAGGTCAGTCCCTCCCCAAAATCCCTCCCAAACCTGCCCTCTGCCCTTTGGGAAGCCGTTCCCCCGTTATCCCATCATCCCATGCCTCTTCCGAAAATCCCTCTCCGCGTTCTCTGTTGGCTTCTCCAGGCCCTGGAGAAGAACCCCTGGCTCTGGAGCAGCTCTGGGATTGGCACAGAAGGACCTCCTCCTGCAGAGAGCCCCTGGCATGCCTTTGGCATGCCAGGGGCTCTCTGCAGGAGGAGGTCCTTCTGGCTTCTTCCTTTTGTATCCCGAGCTCTGCACTCCAAAATTCCAACATGGAAGGGTTTTGGGCAGTGCCTTCCTGACCCCCCTCTCCCTGCTCCCTTTTCCAGTCAGACATGCAGAGCTGGGAGGAGCAGAGCCAGGGAGCCATTTACACCGTGGAATACGCCTGCAGGTACCCCTCTGCTCGCCCCTGCACCTCTGGGAGGGTGTTGGAGGGAGGGGGACACACACACAACCAAAAGCAGGAGCCACCTGATGGATCCACCCAGGAATTTTGGGGCTCTGAGCTCTTCCCAGCCCCCCCCACCATGGGGAAGGTACCAAAATCTGAGATTCCCTCTCAGCAATCCTCTCCCTGGGGGAGTGAGTAGAGGCAGGGGAGGGGATGGAGTGGCCTCAGACCCTCGGGAATGCCAACCATCCTCCCCTGTGCCTCCTTTTTTTTTGCCCCCAGTGCCATCAAGAACATGACTGACAGCAGCGTGTACTTCAAGAGCATCGACAGCCTGCTCAGACACGCCATAGCCATGAAGGAGCAGCTCAACACCGCCCAGGGGAAAAGGTACCCGTGGAAAACGCCCTCCCAGGGGCATGTGGGGACCCAAAAAGAACTGATTTCCCCCCCAAGAGGTGGCTCTGACACCCCCAGGGGCCGGCGTGGGGAAGGTGTCCCTTGTCCCAGCTGCTGCCCTGCCAAACAGCAGGAGGATTTTACTGGAGAAAACCCGCTGATTTTTCACATTCCCTGGCAGCTGGTGGCACTCCTGCCTGCTGGGCGTGACTCTCTCGAGCGACAGGAGAGTTTTATTGGAGAGAAACCCTGATTTTTCACCTTTCAGGGCAGGTGGTGCCTTGCTAAACGTGACTCTTCCTCTTTTTCCAGCACTGTTGCCCCCCAAGCCAAGAATCCTCCAGCCAGCTCCTGATTTCCTCAAGGCCAACCGTCCTGTGCTGCCTTTCCCAGCCCAGCTCTGCTCTCCAGCCCTGGGAAGGAACGAGGAACCAGCTGCC